AAGCCAATTATGATGAGTATATAATATCCCTATGCCATACAGCAGCTCTAAATGCTTTGGGGAAAATTCCAGAACCTGGAAAACCAACTAAGGTATATACAAAGATATTTCAGGGACTGCATGAACCCTTCACTGATTTTTTACAAAGGCTGAACACAGCTATAACAAAAGCTGTGTCAGATAAAGAATTAAGAAAAGTATTAACTGAGTCCTTGGCATTTGACAATGCTAATGCATAATGCAAAAGAATACTTACACCATTAAAGGTCAGATCAGCTCCTTTGGAAGAATGGATTCAGTATACTAATGGTGTTGAGTCTCTTAACTACAGTAATGAGGCTTGGATAGGAGAGACAAATCCCAGAGGTGAAAAAAGGCCCCATGGCACCAAATGTTTTAATGTGGTACACCAGGTCATATAAGTAAAAACTGTACATGGGGTGCTCCTAGAGGTAATACTACTTCTAAAAATAGTCCAAACAGGAGACCCCAACCTCCTGGATTATGTAGAAGATGTGGCAAAGGCCAACATTGGACCAGCGAGTACATATCAAAAATAGATATACAAGGCAACCCTTTACTGGTGGGAAACACCTCAGGGGGCCTCTTGCAGGCCCCCAAATCAAATGTGATACAAACATTTCCAGCCACTGTGGAAGAAATTCCTCTCCGGGACAACTGAATAAACCAATGCCTAATGTAAAAACCGATACTACAATGGATGAAAAAATAGCTCTGATAGATGAATCACAATTTCCAAAGAATACAATAAAACAAATATTTTGACAGACGTTCATAAATAAAGACCAAAACTTAAAATTCAAATTAATGGCCTGGTTCTGGAGGGTCTGGTAGACACAGGTGCAGATGTGATTATAATTACACCAAAATCATGGCATCCAAATTGGCCTCTTCAAGAGGTAGATGTCCACCTTCTAGGTATTAGAACCCTATCTCAGATAAAACAGAGTTCGAGATGGGTTGAATGCATAGGGCCAGAAGGACAGAGAGGAAGGCTGAAGCCATATGTAACAAATGTAGCAGTAAATCTTTGGGGCCAAGATCTGTTACAACAGTGAAATACCCAGATTAAAATTCCTACACTCTCAGGAAAAAATACAGACCAATGCACGTTTCTAGGAATAATATCATAGCATGCTATGAAAATCAGTCACCAACCATTCAGGCTGTACACAAACAGCACAACTGCTGTTGAACTCTCAGAAGTACCAACTGCCTTACCTTTAAAATGGCTAACTAATAAGCCTGTCTGGGTTGGACAATGGCCTTTGACAAAAGAGAAGCTACAAGCTTTAGAACAGCTGGTTCAAGAGCAGTTAAATGCTCAACATATTAAAGAATCTACCAGCCCTTGGAATTCTTCTGTATTGTTATTTTAAAAAAAGTTTGGTAATTAAAAATTTTTTGCTGACAGATCTGAGAGCTATTAATAAAGTAATTCAGCTGATGGGCTCCCCACAGACTGGGATGCCTTTGCCCTCTCTGCTACCCAAAGAATGGCCTATAATAGTTATAGACTTAAGAGACTGTTTCTTTACCATACCCTTACAGGAAAATGATAGAGAAAAATTTGCCTTCACAGTACCTACCTAATTATAACAATTCCCAGCCAGTCAAGAGATATCAATGGAAGGTCCTCCCACAGGGAATGTTAAACAGCCCTACCTTTTGCCAATACTTTGTACAAAAACCATTGGAGATAATTCATGTAAAGTTTCCACAATCCATAATTTATCAATATATGGATGATATCTTATTAGCTGGTCCAAAGTTAGACACATTACAAAGCATATTTAAAAGAATAAAAAAAAGTTTTGCCTCACTGGGGACTACAAATTGCTCCTGAAAAAAATACAAAGAGGAGATTCTATTAATTACTTAGGATATAAGATAGAGCTACAAAAAATTCGACCCCAAAAGGTACAACTAAGGAGAGATTGATTGAAGACTCTTAATGATTTTCAAAAGTTGTTAGGAAGCATTTCCAACTTACTGGGTATCAGGGGAATACCCAAAGATGGACAAAATTTGGCTAATACTCTAGAATAGTGGAAATTAGAGAGCCTGCCAGTACTGAAGATTTGGAACTACTGAACTGATCCATGTACTCCTGACAGGACCAGAAAAGTGGTGAAACCACATTAGAAAACTGACAATTTCTTAAACATACATTTGTCACACAATCTAGCCATTCAATTGCTTAGTTTTTGCTGAAGGGACACTGAAGCTCTTTGTACCCAGGAAGGTTTTTATGTTATTTTAAATCACATCTTTATAGGAGCCAAAAGCTAAAATCAAAACAAACATTGCCCACTGGCAGATGAGTAAATAAAATGTGGCATACCTACATACTGGGCTGTCCCCTGTGAAAGATCCAAGCCACCAACAATCAATTACATACCCCTAATAAAATCTCAAATTATTATGCTAAGTAAAAGGAAGCCAGAGTAAAATAAAAATATACCATATGATTTTCTAGTAACAAATTGGTGCCTGTAGAGGAACAAGAATTGAAAATGGACAGAGAAACATCAAGAGGTCAGTATCTTCATGATGGTAAATTTTCACAGGTACCCTCCATAATAAGTTAGGCAAATGTACAACTTAAATATGTACAATACATTGTATACATAGTTACTCCAATAAGACATTACACATGGAAAAGGGGAAAAGTATAAAGAGACAAGAAGAAAAGGAGGAATGAATGAATGAAGGAGGGAGGGAGGGAAGAGGAAGAGGAAGAAAGAACAAGAAGAAGAAGAGGAGGAGGAAGAAGAAGAAGAATTAGCTGTAGGTAATTCTACATTTCACCCACTTGTGTTCTCAAGAAAGACTTACACATTTATTTTTACAAGGAATATTGTTGAATGTCTCTCGGTTGTCAGACCCAGTTCTAAATGCCAGAGATACAAGAGAATGTGGTAATAGGCACAGGGAAGAAGGAAAGAGTCAGGAAGAAAAAAATATAAATGTCTCTATTTATATTCCTAAAGTATCTAACAAGGTGGAGGTGTGGCTCAGTGGTAAAGCATTTGCCCGACATGCTTGAGGTACTGGGGTCCATCCCCAGAACTATAAAGAGCAAACATTCTTTATAAAGGGAAGATAATAAAGTCAAAGATGTCTGATGGATTGCAAAGAAAATATGAAGCTGCCTTCAGGGACAAGCAGTTGCCAGGATAGCTTTACCCCTTTTAGATGGGGTGATATAGTAGTAACTATTTATCAGTGATTTAAACAGGGCAGTCATTTAAAATAAGAATGCTTCTCTTTGGAAGTATATTTAAGTATAAACAGGAAGAACAGAAAGTGAGGGAAGCAGGCACTATTACTGGACCAGAAAGAGGTTCATGCTGATTCTCAGGCAGGCCCAGTAGTCTCCAAGGAGCAAAAGTCAGGGTATGTCCATGGCCTAGGGACCAAACAATTAGTTCTATCATCTTCGTACACAAATCCCCTTCCACATTTATAGTCTTTTATATATATATTTTCATGGAAACCATCTCATTTGTGTGTTGGGGAAAACCAAGGATTAAGCTCATTTAGGATAAGCTTAGTAGCCTGTATGGTTCCCTTCTTTCTTCAGTTTTCTCTGGAAGGGGCCGTGGGGGTGGGGTAAACTATGCCTAAATGGCTCCTTTAAGTGTTGCTTTATACGGCTCCAGTGGCCTCATGATACACTTCACTCGGAAGAAGAAAAAAAAAATGGCCCATGTTTCTGGGTGGGAGTAGGGTGGTCTGCATCTGTGTCCAGTGTGTTAAATGACAGGGCTCTTGATCTCTCTGTCTGGGTCACTTCACAGGGTGAGTGCATGCACTGTGGAGTTTCTCTAGTGAATTGAACACACCGAGGAGGTCTGTTGCAACTTTACAGCTGTTGCTGCTTTTTTGTTTTGTTTAGTTTTGTTCGGTTGTTTTGTCTTCAGACACTTAGTATAAAAGAGTCCCTCGTCTTTCAGAGACTTATGAAAATGGTCCAAAGCAAAGATGATTGCAAAAATGAGATTAGCATAACAAAACCACTCCAGGAAGCAGACTGGCTTAGTGAAATCATAATCAGTGGATTGGCCTCTAAACCTCGGTGTGTGCTGCTTTTGTGCATTTCCAACAGAATAGCAATGTCCATGTTCTCCTTTTGGTTAATTCTTTCTGCAGAAGCAGCAACACATGAAAGTAAATTTTTCCTTAGAATAGAGAACTGTGAATAATACAACGTATCACAAATGCAGTTTAAACACAGTAGTCCCATAATTACAGAAAACAAATGTCAGGATTTTCTGGTTTTTCTCTCATATGGCACATACTATGCCTTAAAAAGTTCTATAAAACATTTGGAAAGCAAGACCTTAGAGATTTGTATTGACTGATCTAGAAGCAAAAGATTCTGCCTGTGCACTACTGCGATGCTGGGCAACAACGTCAAAATGGAGAGGCCAAGGATTTCCTAGCTTACACAGGGAGCCTTGTTGATCTTTAAATTAAAACTTCATCATTATCTTGGCAAAGCCTGTCTAAGCAGCATATGGAAAGAGACTGACTCTGGGAACAAAGCAACTTTGGCAAATGAACATTGAAAGGGAAGGTGTGGTTTAGAATGGGCCTTGAACTGCCGGGCTTTTACCAAGTCTGTTATCAAACTGGAGTCCATTATGGTGCAGCATTTTGTTATGGATAAGGAACTCGGAAGTGCTTATGGACTAGAGAACACCTCACTAACATGTGAACTCATTTCAATGAATGTATCATTCAAAACTATTAGAGAATATCAATTGAAAAGCTCAGCTTTTAAATAATGAATTAGGACATTTAGAGAGATGAATAAAAGTCACTGGGATGAATTCAAGTAATGTTTACCCCACTCTAAATGGATTCCGTTTTATATGTTGCAAACATTTCGTGCTAATTTATCTGTATCTAGTTCTCCACTTTTTGCGCATTCAACATCAGTGTAGACACAAAGTTGATTTTAATATACAGAGTACTTGATAAAAACATGTTTTTATTTTCAAAGTGTGCAGGAACAATCACTAGTTACAGTTCTTAACAAACCCAGACACCACAAAATCACAGGGTGCTATGATTCCTGAAGCCACTGGAACTTTGATATAACAAATAATGACCTAACAGTGTTTGTCAGAAACCACTGCCTGCTTGGAAGCACATTGAATAAGCCACACTCAAAGTCTTAAGTTATATTGAAAGCATTAGACAAAACTGAGATCCATACAGAAAGCAGACAAAACAAACATGCTCAGGTTAAAGAGATGGATAATATTCCTGGAACGGAAATTGTTGAGCTACCGTGAAGCACTTCAGTATCATCAGAAAATCTACTGTTAGCACATAAAGTGAAGCAAGATAATTTATTTTTCTTAAGTTCAAATACAAGAATCTTTTAAACATAAAATTAAATTTGTACATGGGATTTTAACCAACTTGTAATGTCCTACATTGAATCCAGCTGGTCTCCTTGAAAGAAGTACAAGATGACACATTAGTTGAAACAGAGCTCATATTTTTTTCCCCAAGAGTAAAGTACATAACACATTTTCAATAAAATGCAGTGACCTCAAGGTGACTGCCAATCCATTTAGCACTCTATTATAGTTACTGTGATGGTCCTGCTATATATCTTATCATGACAAGTGGCCCAAGTTAGGAGTGAATTTATTTTTCTTAGTTTATGATAATGGTGTCTGTTTATGAAAGAGAACAGTTTCTTTTGAACCTAACTGGAACCTCATGAATTACTCAATGTTTGCAAAGTTCTGTATGAAAGAAGCCACATAGTCCTGAAGTTGTCATTTCTGGCTGTTTTTCTCTCTATAACAGATCCTCCTCCAAAAAGCATCTGGGGACAAGAATCACATAGAACAAAACGATAAGGATATATGACTGATTCCCTTACTATATAGTGTTTGACATGAGGACAACAGTTACAGGTTAAATAGGTTCTATTCAATGAAGGCGTGATGAGCTGGCTCCTGTAGGATTTGCTCAAGACTAAGTTAGCTAAGAGGTGCCAGCCACATTGCAGATGACCTCTTAGAAAGGAAAGGAGGCAGCAAAGCAAACTTAAGCCAGAGGTGATCCCTAAAAAGGTGACATCCTTTTAAATAGTTCCACCATTTCAGTATTAATGTTTTACCTTAGTTCTTTCTTATTTTTTTTGTTAATGAACTTTTCACACATGAAATTACATAACACCTCAGCCATAAACTGTTGGTTCAAAGAAAGTGTCAATAAAGCATCTTTAAATGTTATTGCTTGAAAATGAAAACATTAATTAAGAATTTCAGACTCATATGTAGTAAATAAAATACTTTTAAGTAACCTAAATATTTGGTAGTCATACATGTAAGCACATACGTTTTTCTTAGCTTGGTTCTAAGGGCATAAACTCCACAAAGCAGATAAAAATAACAAGGAAACATTTCTACAGATCTAGTTTAAAAATGTTAAAACTTTTCCTTTTCTACCTAAGTCAACCTATGACCTTCTTCATGATCTCCTATATTAAAAGACCTGACCTAGCTAGCTTGTCATTCTTATTTTTTCCAAAGTTCTTTATCAATGATGTCATTGTGGTTGGACACTACTCAAGAATTCAATGACAATAATTTTTTATAAAATCTTCTCTATACCCAGCAGTGTTTATCATTTCTATACTATGAGACAGACAGCTCCATGCATTGAGATAACTCTCAGTTACTACCCAGTACCCATTGTCAGGTCTCAGATCTCTGCAGTCACGCCAAAAATGAGCCAACCTCACTGTGGTTAAATATTGGGAAGAAAATATAATGGAGTGAATTCTTAGGCAACCATAGTGAGTTTCTTGGCATCTTAAAATTTATAAAGCTTTCTTTAAAATATTCACACTTATAGGTCACTTTCAGTGTTGTAAAGCTTGGTAGTAGAAAATGAAAACCAGGTTTTCTTTCACTTTGGCTAAACTTCGCTCCCCTTTCTTCTCCCTGCCCTTCTGTTGCCTGAAGACCAAACCCAAGTCCCCAGACATACTACTCAGGTGTCCTACATCTGAGCTTTTAATTCCCCAGACCTTTAAGGAGTTATTACATATCTTAGCAAGCCATAGACTCGGAATGTTACTTCTTTATAGTTTGAGTGTTGAACGTAACTTTAAAATCCTCCATGGATGACAATTCGTCATCGCACTTTTAAGTGTGATATACAGCAAGGAAGGCAATTTTTTTCCTTTATTAAGAGAAAAGAGGTACAGAAGAGTGAATGGTCTCCTCCATAGGTGCTTTGGGGGTGTTCACCTTGTCTAGGCACACACTGCATCACCCACAGAGCTGCCTCTAACTGGTACCCTAGTATACTAATGAGGAGGTACCCCAGCCTCATCAAATCTGTTGAGTCCCAATAGACTCAATCTGGAGCTTTAAATGTCTTTGAAATGAGATTGTTATTACAGATCTTTAATGTCACGCTACAGCGCTTTATAGTCAAGTTTATCCTTCCTTTCTTTTTCTTTCTTTCTTTCTTTCTTTCTTTCTTTCTTTCTTTCTTTCTTTCTTTCTTTCTTTCTTTCTTTCTTTCTTTCTTTCTCTCTCTCTCTCTCTCTCTCTCTCTTTCTTTCTTTCTTTTTCTTTCTTTCTTCTTTCTTTCTCTCTTTCTTTCTTTCTTTCTCTCTCTCTCTCTCTCTCTCTCTCTTTCTTTCTTTCTTCTTCTTGATACAAAGGACAACAAAACAGATTTAAACTCTTAACCATTCACCTTATCTATACAGGTTGGCAAACAATAACTGTACATTAGAACAAAGCCACCCACTAATGTATAGGATGTCTCATCTGGTTAAAAATTAACAGATAAAATACTTTAGAAAATGCTGGTTTTGGTGTCTTTTTTTTTTTTACAGTAAATTGATAGCAAATTGACTAAAGTAGTAAATTATGAATTTTGAAACTATTACAGAGAGATCCAAGTTCATCTCCCAACAGGCAGCATTTTCTCCACTTAGTTGCAACTTGTTACAATAGTCAGACTAAGATCAACAGCATGTTCTCTTCACTATTTTGCATATTTTTCAAAAGATAATTCTTGTATTAGATTAAAAATCAAATTATACGAATTTATAGTTAACTCTCAAGAAATGTCTAATCTGTGACAGGCTAGAAGAAGGTAGCAATAATCTCCAGATACCAATGATGTTCTTGAATCCTTTGCTATCAGCTGGCTTTGCACTATAGTATTGTCTCTGTGAGACCTTTTGGAGACCTAGGATTAGAGAAAATGAGTTATGTGGTTGGAGACAAAACTGGTCACAGAGGTATTTGAGGCACTGAGTTTGGGCAATGTAAACATCAACCAGTGTAAACACTCTAGACTCGGGCTCTGTGTCAGAAAGAAGTATCATGTACATTATATACCTCTCAAAAAACACAAACATTTGGGAGGTAATTATTAAGAGGAAACAACTGAACATACATGTTGTAGTGGGATAAAAAATATGGAGCTCTTTAAAGCAGAATATTCATGGCACCAGTTCAATTTGAAGTTATATAATGAATATGGAACTAGGATCTGGAACTCATAGGAGAATGAATTTCTAACAATAGTCAAATAGATTTCAAAGTCAGACATCAAAATTTATAGACAGAAATATTTTTAGACTAAGTGTTTATAAGTAGAATATTTTCATTTTTGGCAGCTTGAAATGTCAACCCTCCCAAGTTTATTATCCAGTACTTAATACTTGTTACTCTTATAGGCACATTTCCATATTTATAGGTATCATTGCCCTCTACCTCATGCTACCAATGATGCTCTTAAAGCAGGTCCTGAAAAATTCTCATCTGACAATGAAAAATCTTGGCATAAGCAAATTAATCATGTAACTAGAACACAATGAGAAAAAAATGAAAAGGTAAAATTCCTTCACTATTATATGACTCAGCCATTCCCTGTTACGGAAATACTGGCACATTTTGAATCAAAATCCGAAACACATTTATTGACCTCAAGATATTCACCAGATTTTACCATAGCTGTGATCATTTCTTTCTACTTTCTGTCCAGAAGACATATTATAAACACTGACTCACAGCTTTCTCCACCCATGGCACAGACTTTGAGATCAAGAAGAACATCCCAGACAGTGGGAATACTAACCTAGAATCAATCATAGAAGTTGGGGGTCTTGGGCTATTAGCACTGAGAATTATACTAAGGGCAAATCCCTTACAAGCTTCCATATTGTGTTGATTTGTTCATTTGTGGTACAGTTCTGGATTCCACTTATCTTAAAAACATTTTATGTAGACATGTCCTCAGATCTGTGTATATTTCTGAAATTGACTGGACACCAGATGGAAGATAGAAGGAAAAGGTTTAAAATGGTACTGGGATTTTACTTTGCAATGCTTGTAATTTTTAAAGGAGACAAAGTATGCAAAAGTTTGAGATTGAAAATATTTTAAAGGATGAGAAAGTATGCTATCACCAACTGTAGGCTCAAAGAAAACAGAAAACTCAAAGCAATTTGCTTTCTTATTGGTAAAATTGACTGACAAGTTTAAATACTACATTGATAAGATTGGGTTTTATATCTATGCCAAATTAAGAGAATAAAAACTATTACAATATGACTTTTCACAATGATAAGTGTAAGTCAATGTGAATTCTGTGGTTAATTCCAGAAAGAAAAGTCAGCTTCAAGGAAAAATAAAACCACTGGCTACAATTTTGGTGAGATAAAACACAGATCCATCCTTGTTATTTTCTCAAGTACATCTCAACTATAGTTATTTTTCCTCATGACAAAATACAAATATTATAATAAAGAATGAGGCATCACCAATTTTTGGTTACTGATGATGTGAAAATTCAGGGTGAACATAGTTACTGGTCCATAATTATTTTGAAGTTATTGATCCATGAACATACCTTGCTGTAACTGCTTCAACACAGAGATAAGTGTGGTATAGAGGGAAAATACAACTTAGAATTTCTAGTGCTTTTCTAAAATGAAGCAAAACCCACAATTAACCATCACTCTTTGTTTTCTATCATCAACAAATTTTATATTTGGAAACTTTAAGACTAAATCTTAAGTTTCTTGACTACATTTATAGGGTATATTCAATAAATATGATTTATTTTTTCTTGTGATTCTTTATAAGAATTTGATAAAAAAAAATAAGAATAAAATGTGAACTTGGGCACTATCAGAAGCAATGCTAAAAGCTTAAATTGTTTGAATTGGAGCTTCTAAAGCATTCTCAATCTCAACTGATAATGCCAGCTTCCAATCTGCTTCAGTGAAATTTGGCTAAGTGACTCTCTCAGACTTATCTCAAAGATCCATTTAATTTTACCTGTTCAACTGCCATATTCCCATGTTTTATTTTCCTCTAGGGAATGTACCTTATACTTTTTTATCCATGATCCTATTCTTGCCTCTCTGCCATTTATAAAAAATATAAAAATGGCATTATTACACAATTTCCTACAAGAAGTCTGACATTCACCCACTCACAACCTTATCAGTGTAGCTTATTGGGTAAATGTAGTCATCCTTAATAAGCCACACAGAATTCTTTGTTATATGTCTATTTTTAGGAATATGTTTTTCCCAGTGCAAATATAGACTATGACTCATACTTCACGTAAGTAGATATGAACAGAAAAAATCTTTTAATATTCTTTTTAGTTAGCCTATTCATTTCTCCAGACTGATAGTAATATGTGCTTTCATTTAAAAGTCACTGATACTTCTTCTCTTATACACAACTTCTTTATAAAAATACAACCAAGCATCCATGATGGTGAGACCACCTTAGGAGAACTTTGATTTTTGTTTGGAAGGGACTCAGGTTAACAGTACAATTCTTTTAACACTATTGACTATCCTGATTTATTAAAATAGATTGAGGAGGGAAGAGAAAGACATGCCATTGCTCATGATCTACTCAACAACAACTTTGTTGTTTGCATTATTTCAGGATGTAGTATTTGGGTGGGCTCTTTATCACTGGTTCCTAGGAGGAGTGTCTCTAGCAGGCACATTTCTTTTCTGCTGGCTTTTCCCCATCCAGCTTTCCAGAATTTCCACCATTGACAGTGTCCGGAACCTGTGTCTTCTCTACACATTGTTCCATTCTCTTCATTATTAAGTCCAGAAGGGTTTCCACAGACTTCTCTACATTCTGTCCTGTTGCAGCACTTGTTTCAAAGTATGGTATGCTAACATAAAAAAACAAAAAACAGATTTTTCAAATTGACCTGTAAAATTATATCTATGACTCATATATAACACATTCTTTTGAAGTGCGTATTCATCATAGAAAGACTAACTCTAGCTAATTAACAAATTTATTACTTCATGAGGTTATCATGTCTTATTACTATCCAAACTCTTTCATTGTTCAAGAATGCAATGTTACCATTAATAAATGTAGTCACCAAATTGTGACATTGAACTTACTACATTCTTGAATAATGCAGATAATAATATTCTCATACAAAATCATTTTAAAGCAGACTTAGGGTTTATTTTTAAAAGATTTTATTTTCATTTATGGGTGTATACACATGCGCATGTGTATGTGTGTATGTATGTATGTGAGTTTGTGTATATGTGTGTGTGCATGTTGGTGTGTGCACACAAATGCTGAAGAAAGCCAGAAGAAGGTGTCAAGTCCCCTGGGGCTGTAGCTACAAGTGTTTATAAGTCACCTGACATGGATGCTGGGAACCATACTCGTTCTTTAAAATAATGCCAAGTGCTCTTAATGACTAAGTCGTCTTTCCAGTGCAAGAGCTGAGGTTAATTAAGGACCAGGGAGTCTGCTATAAGATCCTGTCTCTCTTTGAAATGACAGGGAAGTTACACCCACGATACTTCAATAATATGGCTACCTAAATAGAAGCTGGGCAATGACAACACTATTTGAAATGCCAGTGTGGATAGGGAAATTGCAATGGGCCCCACCCCTAGTTGATTAAGGGCTGCCAAGAGAGGAAGAACTAATCTTCCCAGAGATGAGCACCCTAAATGGTTACCCAGTCCCAAATGGTTAATCCCACTGCCCCCAGTATTCACATAAGCAACACTAAATGAACTCAGTGGGTCACATTTATATACAGAAAAATGATGTAATTACATTTTAATTTTTAAACTTTTGTTCTTTGAGAATAAAGATATTGGTATAAATTTAAGTTGAGCACATAGGTTAACACAAAGAGAGGGACCTAGGGACCAGAGAACCACACAGCTGTTGCCGGGGCCTTCTCAAGAGGAAGTAGTCTCACACAAAATCTTAATGAGAAATGTTGTTTGAAGAAAGAGATCAGAAGAGAAACAAAACACAACAAAGTGAAGGCCACATAATACATGGCTGGCAAAGAGATCTTAGTGTCAGTTTTTGCCGGCAAGTTGGAAACCTTGTTTTCTGTTTCTTGGTTTTGTTTTGTTTTTTTCACTAAATCAAAATTAATGAGTTGTTCTTCCATGCTGTCATGACCCCAGTGCATGGGAAACCATTAGAGGGGGTAGTCAGAAAGCTGCGGCCAAGGCATCATCACCACTTGAACACAATGGAGTAAAGAAACCAGTAGGAGAAATGCCTAGACCAGTGGTCAGCAGCTCCGCTAACATTTTATGGTCAGCAGCATCCCTAACAGTGTACTTCCCTCTGGCCAATCACCTAGAAATTTGCTTTCAAAATGCTGCTTACGTTGGATATAATACTCACAGGAGGGTAAGCTACGTGTATTTGGAATTAACAGCATTGAGAAGATCTAAACTTGAAAGATCCAAATGAGCTCTTTCTGGCAGATGATAAAACTGCTTTAAGTTTAAAAGTCACTGACAAATTCTGCCATGAAGGTTAATCTGCAATTACATGGGCTTATTTTGTTTGAGTTTGTTTTCAGCTGCCAGTCAAGTCTACCCAGGAAGACGGCTGCAATATCCAGGCCAAATCAGATACTGTTCTTTGCTCACCTAAGTAACTGTTAAGTGAGAGGTAGTAAAGCACAGAGTTTATGAATATAAGGCTTGATGTAGATTCCTTGAACTAAATTTAAGCTTGGTTCTTTAATAGCTATTTAGCCTTCTACCAAGCACTTAATTATTCTGTGACTCAGTCCTTCTTGTACAAAAGGTGGTGACTCCAGTGTCTCCTGCATATGGCTATGAGAAGCTCAATGAGCTGAAGGCTAGCAACAATGGCCAATGCATGATAAAGACTCAATAAATGTTAGATGCCATTATTAATATGCTTTTTGAAGGGAGGCTTGTGTGTGTGTGTGTGTGTGTGTGTGTGTGTGTGTGTGTGTGTGTGTTATATGTACGTATGTGCAGGCTTGCTTGCTTATGAGTGTCAGTCACTAAATCTGGAGCTCATTGATTTAGCTACACCGGGTGGCTAATGAACCTCATCTCCTCTCCCAGCACTGGGGTTACAGACACATTCTACCATAGCCAGCTAGTACATGGGTGCTAGAGATCCAAACTGAGGTCTCCACTCTACCCAGTGAGCCATCTCCCCAACTGGAAAGACTTTTTAATTCACTGCTGTTTCTGATCCAAGGGGATTCCTTCAGCTGTCTCCCTCATGTCCCTGCTTCTTCTCTGGACAAGGTCAGATGGTTCCCAGTGAGAGTGACTCACCCATACTTTTCAGCCAGCTCCCGAGCTTGCCGTTCATTGACTTCCCTTTGGTCCGGCAGGTCCGCCTTGTTGCCGATTAGTACTATGTCTGGGTTTTCACAGTAAGCATTTGCTTGCAGTTGGCCTTGGTAAGGAAGCAGAGAGAAGCAGTGAGTTAGTCACAAGCAAATGATGTTAAAGGACTGCTCATGCTCTAGATTCTTAACCCGGCTGTTCATCTGCAGCTTTGTTACCTACTAATGCTGATCAGCCTGGTCATCTCTCCTCACAGTTTCATCTATAAAATGGAGATGCTGCCTCACAAATTACAGATAGTAATGCTGAAAGACAGGTACACAGAAAGTACCCGAACCGATACCTAAACATGCTCACCTATACCCAGGAGCTTGCCCTCTGACCTATGTGGCTTCTTGCCATTGGTTCCTCAGATAAGAATATCAGGCTTGATCTAAGCCTTTCACTTGGAGATGATAGAACATGATTTTCATGTATGTTCATTTGCTCCATTAGATGGTGGCTCTGTGGATTCAAAAGTGATGACCTATGGAATGGACAGGGCTTGAAAAACAGGAAATTCATGCAAAAAAAAAAAAAACAAAAAACAAGCTTAAGATAAAATCTTTTCTCTTTCTGTAGGCAAATGTGTGTGTGTGTGTGTGTGTGTGTGTGTGTGAGAGAGAGAGAGAGAGAGAGAGAGACAGACAGACAGACAGACAGAGAGACAGAGAGACAGAGACAGAGACAGAAAGAAACAGGGAGAGACACAGAGAGAGAATAAACTAAGTAATGAAGGAATGAAAGAAGGAAGAAGCAAGGGAAGGAAAGGAAAGGAAAGGAAAGGAAAGGAAAGGAAAGGAAAGGAAAGGAAAGGAAAGGAAAGGAAAGGAAAGGAAAGGAAAGGAAA